CGAAGTTGCAACCTTCTGTTTTGGTATACACATTTCAGAGTGTGGTCAAAGAACTGACTTGTGTTCAGTTTCAGATTTTAGACCAAGAAGTCAGTTTCCTGTAGAACTGGAGGAAAAATGGGCTTAAAAAACAAAAAAATGTTAACGATTTTTGCTTGTTCTGTTTCGAATAGTGGGCCAATCCGTAAATGAACATGAGGAATTGCTGTAAGAAAAGGCTGGCGGCACGACTAAGGTATTACTAAGGCACTGCTTACTGGAACGCTTTGGCAGCTCTGAATTGAAAACTTCCTAAAAAAGTAACAGTAGTAAGAGAAATGCTTCCAGCTTACAAAAGGGCTCACAGTTCCGAGGCAGCCTTTTGCACTGCATACCCTACATGCAACATCTTGAAGATTTAAGGCTTTTCAGAAATGACATGTGCAGGGCTTTGCCACAGAAACATCAACATGAAGAAATAAGCAATGCAGACATATCCTCCTAATGTCACAGGTGTGAACACCAACAGACAGAATTAGTTCTACCCTTCGTTAGTTCAGGTATAGTGTACCAGAGCATATACAAAATTATACAATATGTACCTGGTTTGTAAAATTGACTGTCATCTCATGATTTAAATAATTTACGGTTGTACACAAACAACTGCTAAAGCCACCACAGTATTGAAACCAAAAGACGACTTGGGTTTAAAAGTCATTTGGGGACTTCTAACACCAAGTGCTTGGAATGGGGGGCTGTTTTTTGGCTGGTGTGAGTGCAGGACTTTGCTGCTGGGATGCTTAGCAAATACAAATTTGACTCAGAGCCTGTGGCAGGTGAATTGTCCCCGGAGTAAGTCAAAAGCCTCATCAGCTGTCCTGTCTGTGTGTGGATGCCTCAGGTGGCTACTGTCAGTGACACTGCAGCCTGGGGAGCAGCACTGGGGTGATGCTGTGCCTCAGCACGGGGGTCCTGAATCTCCCCCTTCTGAACAGACCCTGTCCACACATTCTTAGGGATCATTTAAGCAAAGAGCACCGAAGAACAGCCTCTACCAGGAGAGGCCAAGGATTAGAGTGGAACCCTAGGAAAGTCCTCACTAACCAGTGGGGTGATTTGGACAAGTACCTCCCCTCTAGGTCTCAACTTTCTTGTCTATAAAATGAAGGAGAGCAGACTGTGCTCTCTTTTAGATCAAGAAAGGAAAGCTCTATTAAGCCCTCTTCTGGAACTGATCCCTCACGCTTCTCCATCCCTAAAGATGAAATGTTCCAGAGGTTTCAATGCATTCTACAAACAGCACTGATTATAAGGCAGGAAGTAGAAGCAGCCCAGAGGAAATATACTGAAACGATTAAAGGTTTGATAATGACACCCATGAGTTCATGAGAAATAATGAATATTGCTGGGATTTTATTTATTTATTTTTTTTACCCCAGCAAACTAAGGGATGAAGATCAAATCAGAGACACTCTTCAAATAGGTGTGGTTACAGGAATGATGGTGACCAGCTGTTCCCAACTTCCCCAGGGAAGAGCGAAAGAATACTTGTAATAAGAGAAGTTGCTGTGAAACAGAAGTTCTGAAACAGTAAGAAACATGGACAAGGCTCACAGAGAGAAGCTTCCACAGGGTGAAATAGAAGGGAAAACAATTTCAAATATGGCAATTGTGACCTCTATGATCTAGAGCAGTGGTTCTCAGCTGGGGGTGATTTTGCGCCCCATGGGATGTTTGGCAATGTCTAGAGACATGTCGGGTTGTGAAAACTGGAGGAAGGGGGGCAGGGGCGGGTACTAGTAAACCTCCCACAATGCCCAGGACAAGCCCTGAACAACAAAAATCTGGTCCAAAATGTCAACAGTGTCAAGGTTGAGAAACCCTGGTCTTAGGTAACTTGGACATTCTAGGATTTTAGGACATGTTCTGAAGAACTCCTGGTTTTAATTTCAGTTTCTCACTATGATGGAAATGAATGCCAACAGACCAGAGCCCAGTTCTTCAGTGCCTCCCTGTTTAGGCTGTGGAAAATTTGGCCTCCAAACTCTGCAGTGAGAGCATGAGATGGCCTGGAAACAAACCTGGGTCAGCAGGAGACAGAGCACCTGAAAAAGAGTAGTGAGGACAGGACTCTAGGAAGGCGTTTTTATGGTTTTTTATGCCGGATGTGGTGGCTCATGCCTGTAATCCCAGAACTCTGGGAGGCTGAGGCAGGAGGATTGCTTGAGGCCAGGAGTTTGAGGCCAGCCTGGGCAACATGGTGAAACCCCATCTCTACAAAAAATAGAAAAATTAGCTGAGCATGGTGGCATGCACCTGTAGTCCCAGCTACCCAGGAGGCTGAGCCAGGAGGATCACGTGAGCCCAGAAGTTTGAGGTTGCAGTGAGCTGTGATGCTGCACTCCAGCCAGCCTGGGCAATAGAGCAAGACCTTATGTCAAAAAGAAAAAAAAACAAAACTTTTAAGACATAGGGATAAGACTGCCATAGAGAATGAGTGACCAAAAAGAGACTCGGATGAGGTGCTATGATGCCAATCCCACCCAAGGATCTAATTTGGGAGAAAAAAGAGAGGCCCAAGGGTTTGGGGTAACTGGAGTGGTGGTTAAGACAGGGAAGCTATCTGTCCTGAAGAAAGCTTTAGAAGAACATGAAATAAACTTCCAAAAATCTTAGAAATGTTTTAAGAGCAAAAAGTAATCCTCAAAGGTTGACCAAGTAAACCCACAAAACTCAACTACAAAGGCATTCAGGAGGAGGATGTGGGAGGTGAAGCATCCGAGGGCCCAGCTAATCCTGTGAGGTCAGCAGACTGGGGTGTGCCCTTTTCTGTCACCAACAGAGTTGTCCTCTAGCTGGTCTTCTAGGGTCCCAGACTTTTTGTGCTTTGAAAAGTAAATCCCAAGCGCTCACCTTGCAGCATCAAAGAGCCCCATTCCCCAGTGGGAACGTGAACCAGATAATCTCTCCCCTGAAGTTCTGGGATGGCCTGGCTTTTAGCCATCTGTAGCCAGTCTTATAGTCCTCGTCCTGGGAGGGAATGGGGGTTCCCTTGAGGAAAGATGCAGGAAATAGGGACAAAAGAAACATCCCCAGGAGGGGGTCCAACAGAAGTCATTAGAAATGTGATGACCATGAAAGAAGCCACAAGCCAGATGCAGGGTGGACAACAGGGGCAATCCTTCGAAGGCTGGCCTGGAACCAGGAGGGAAGAGTAGCACTGTCCTACTAGTTTAGGTATGGGGTGGGCATTCATTCCAAATGGGGAAGGTTTTGTGCACTCTCCTTTGGTCTTCCCAGTGACTGGTGATGCATGTGGGAGAGGTTAGGCTTAGTCCAGTGCTTTTCTGTTTGCCACAAGCTAGCCACACCCTCATGCTCATAACCACAAGATACGGACCAGTGTACAAGCCGGGTCAAAGCCGGTAGTGGGACAGGGAAGGGGGTGTACAAGTTACTTGGATGTGGTCAAACTAAGTTTTAATTTTCTGGTTTGGTAACAGAAAAAAATCTTGACATGTTTTACAGGTTACAAACCTTATTTCATGTTCTATTGTGTTAGCATGTTCCTACCACTTATAACAACATCATTTTCCTATGGGAAGTTGGAGGGGCACCCCCCTGTTCCTTCCCAGATGAAACTCTCATGGAGATAACCCAAGACATGTGGCCACATCAAACCAACTCTGCCTGGGTGATGCTTTGGAATATTTAGATTGCAAAGTTGAATCTCTCCCAGAAAGAGAAGCTTCCAACTGAGACTGTTTGAAAAGGACAAAGATAGACAATTGAGCCTGCTAAAACTAAGTCAAACAAGTACTGTGATTTACTGAGAGATGTTAAGGAAATAGATGTCTTTAGAGAGGATATATCTAAGTCTATAGACGCAGATTGGGATATACATACATGTCAGCACCTAAGCAAATTGAGTGACACTAAACAGATGTTCCATAAATGTGCTGAATAACTATATATGTATATGTGATGTATACATACACATATAGTTATAGCATGGTTAATATGCACATTGGGTCACCAGAAATAAAGAAGTTATCCATAGGCTGGTGAGGATGCTTGTAATTTTCTAAGCAGCAGAGATGCTGAAGCTGATGAGCCTTTTACTTGCCTGGTCAATGAAATTTTCTCCCAGCCACAGGATTCTGTATACTTTGCATCTCACAGTGCAGTATTCATGCCAATTTTAAAATTTTGTTATTAAATTTCAGTGGTTCAAATATTTACTCATCTTAATAAAAAATTTTGGCTGTCCATAATAAAATATAACTGCACACACAAGACTATAAACATTGTAAGTTTAGATTTTTCAGTATTTATCTACTTATTGCAAAAAGAGCCATTTTTTTCATTAAATAATCAATCATCACATTAGTACAATACAATTTTATATTTTTAAATATACTATATATGTTAAGGATAAGGGGTGAAGTTTTCTTCCTTTGTAATACCTGTTCAAGAGTTTAATGGATTAGGAGATTAGTTTTAACCTTGAGGAAAAAAGTACAAATTTGTCTCATTAGGATATTTCTACCAAGCATTTCTTAAGGCTATAGTTTAACATTTGGTTTCAAAAAGAAAGAAAGGTTTCATTTAAAAAATAATTTAGTGAATTACATTCTTTCATAACTTCCACCCTAATTAGTTATAAAGATAAGTCTAAAGATTCTTAGTTTTGTGTACTAATTTACATTTATATTTAAAGATTAATTTTACTTGTATCTTAAAACAAGAATTTTATGTTGGAAAAAAGAGAACTAAATATATTTGTATAAAGGCTGTAAATGTCCCATGGCAAATGCTCTGTCTCAATATTTTCTACCACAAATAGAAACAGGGCTCTGCAGAGAGAGACTTGGGTTGTTAAGGTTCACCTTTCCCGAGGAATTGTGGGCTGCAGATCTGAAGAACACACAGAAACAACTCAATTTCTCTTTTTACAACTGTACCAGAACTTCACAGCTACAATGATAGTATGAACACATGAAAAAATGACTTCACTCAAACAGGATTTAGAAAAGTTGGGGTGACCTCGGGGGCCAGGGCACCACCCTGTGTGGTGAGGTTTACAGTCAGTCGTTCGAGAGAGAGTGTGTGTGTGCGCACATATGTGTATGTATATACAGATATCTATATATATAAATAACCATGTTCAGTCCTTTACAAGCCTGTAAATATGATGTTGTGCTCCATGTTCACTATTTGAAACTTCAAATACACAGGCCATGCAGAGGAGAGTTTCTTGTGTATCCCTGTTTGTTACCACCTGTTAAGATAAAAAAAGGTACATATATTTAACACCACTCAGTTGAAAACATATTCGATCTGTGCATGATGACTATAATTTAATTGGAGAGGAACAGTCTTAAGTCCAATAGAGATCTGCTCAGCCTTACTCTGTGTCCTCTCAAACTTCTCGCCTCAAGTGATCCTCTCGCCTTGGCCTCCCAAAGTGCTGGGATTTACAGGTGTGAGCCACTGCACCGGGCTGGTCTATGTCCTCTAACACGAATTCAGAACACCATAGGTACAACTTGAATCCCTTCCAAGCTTGTTTACTATAGATAAGACAGACCTTGCAGAAAGAATCTCACCAATAATCTGAGCCCAAGAAGAGACCACAAAAATAAGTACAGTTTGTGTTTTTGGTCTTGGAGTTTTCTTTGGATTTCTTTACAACAAAGAATTTTCTATAATTCTGTCCTACAAGACAATCATTTATCCTAGGAAATTATCTTCTGTCTTTTAAAATTTATTTTTAATTGACAAATAATAATGACACACATTTATGGAATACAATGAGATGTTATGACCCACGTATATGTTATAGAATGGTTAAATTAGGTTACTCAAAATATCCATCACTTCACATACTTATTTCTTGGTGGTGAGAACACTTAAAATCTAATCTTTTTCCTATCCTAAACTTTTGCTAAATTTTGTTTCACAACAGCCCACGACAGACAACAGCTCCAGCAGTGCCCTGCTCACCAGCAGTGCCCGCACTCAGCAAAATATTGGCCAAGGAAAGGAACAGTGGCACAGGTAAAGTCATGCCGAGTGACAATTCTTCTCATTGATACAGGCTTTGCCTTTCAAAATGTCTTCTGAAGTACTCATCTGTTCCCTTCTATCCAACTCCTTCGCCTCCGCCTTCTCAGCTTTCCTGCAGATCTGGAGCTTTCCGGCCCCGATCACCGCAGCTCCCTCCCGCCAGACCCTGCCTCCTTCCCTCTCCTCATGCTGGTCTCCATTTCCCAAGCCACTCTCAGAGGGGACTTTCTAAAAGCAAATGTAATCAAATTACTCAAAACGCTTCAATGACTCTGTTATTTCTGTGTCTGATCAAGCCAGAGCAGCATCTGAAAACACTTTGAATCTGAGAGCCTCGTTCCGTAGGCCTGAAGAATGAAGTCTCACAGTACTTCTGATTTTCCCTCACGGCACACTGGACGGTCTGCAAGCACAAATCGATGTGCATGATTTTTTTAACATCCGCCTCATCCGGTGGAATATAAGTTCCCGAGGAACACGGACCATGTTTCCCAGCAACTAGTTTAGGGCATGGCACTCAATAGCCATTTAATAAATGTTTGCTGAACGAATGAAATTCACATTAACATAGCCAATGCATATCGAGGGCTTACGACATCTGCTTGGTATTAAAGGCTTTATACAGATTGTCTCTGAGTGGGTGCTTTTACGACTCCCCTTTGACAGAGAAGGAGCGGAGGGGTCAACTGCTGCCTATTCACCTGGCAGGTATCTCTCAACTGCTCCTTCCTCAGGAAGCCTTCTTCAGGCTTCCCCCTGAATTAGGTCCAATCCTCCTGCTCTACGCTCTCTTGGCACCGCGTCCCTCCGCCGGACAGCTGGAGTTCCCATTTGCATTCATTTTGTGATGATGCGATGAACGCCTGCCTCCCTCGCCAGACCCCAGGAGGGTGGCCACCTGTCTCGTTCACCACGACACCCCAGCAGCTAGTACCTCAGCATGCAACCATGACATGCCCCTTTTCTTGGCTGTCTGTTCACCCCTCGAGGCCACAGCCCTGAGAATCCCCCCTCACTCCGTACTTCACCACACCGGATTCCCAAGTACACCACAGCCCTCATTACCCTATGAAGGTTTATTTACTTGCCTCTTCTGCCCTGAAGGGCCATGAGCTACTGTGTGTCAGGCATTGTGTTTTATTTACATTGCATCCCAGCAGTGACTCTCCCTAGTTTAGCTGAATGAATTAAAACATTCTTAATGATAACCTTGAGGTAGAGGGTGAAGACGTGAGCATCTTGTTTATGAAGGAGGCGAAACTGTAGTCCAAAGACTTTACATGACCTGCCCAAGGGCTTAAAGTAGAGTTAAGTCTTAAACCCAAGTCTTCTGATTTCATGACCATAACATACACTGCCAAGTGTCTTTTCTATCAACTCAAGTCTTAATTTATGTCTATCACTGGCTCTGTGACCTTGGGTAGACCTAACATTCCTTATCCATAAAATGGGAATAAAAATGACCTCACAGTTTTGCTGTGAGAATTCCATAATAGAACGTTTATCAAGATTGTAGTACAGTGCCTAGAACCTCTGCAATCTATTCTACCTTTTCACAAACTTCCTATAAAGAATATACAGCAGGCCCTCCAATACCCACAGGTTTTACATCTGTGGATTCAACCAACTGTGCATTGAAAACATTTAGGGAACACAAATCAATAAAAAATACAAGTTTTATAAATAATACAGTATAACAACTATTGACATAGCATTTACATTGTATTAGGTATTATATAAGTAACCTAGAGGTGACTGAAAGTATATGGGAGTATGTGTGTGTTATATGCAAATACCATGCCATTTTAAATAAGGGACTTGAACATCTGACTTGAGTGGATTTTGGTGTTCTCAGGGGGTCCTAGGACCAATCCCCAAGGATACTGAAGGACAACTGTATCTGGCTTCATGATTGAGATTCAAAACGAGAAAAGAAAAAAAAGTTTCTATTAGCCTGTATGTCTAAATATAACCTCAAAAGACAACAGAAATACTTGGCACAGGGTTTACCTGCTGCCTTCCCAGTTCTGTGGCCATCAAGAGGGCCTGACAACTACAGGTTCAGCTCAATTCCTAAGCAATCCTGATGAAATCAGATAACCTGGTTTACCAGCCAATGCAGTCTGGAATTGGTCTTGATGACACAGGCTTTGCATCTGATGTATCTAGTAAAATATCTTCAACCTTGTCCAACATGTGGCCACGCCCCTACACTCCCACTCCTGTGAAGAGCTGAAAAGTACAACTTCTCCTGTTGATCGGTTAGATGATTTTATTTTCATAATTCTGGAGTGCCAGCTTAATTTCAGGTTTCCTAAAGTTAAAATATTATTTCTAGCATTTATTTATTTCTAGCTATTAATTCTCCAAGAAATTTACTTGGCTGTTTAATGACACATTTTGAAATTAATCTAATCTGAAGCGTTCTCTGGATGGCTGTATTGGTTGAAGTCACATGTTCCAAGGGAACATTACTGATATATAGTGATGTTTTGCTTAACGATGAGGATACTTTCTGAGAAATGTGTCGTTAGGTGATTTGGTTGTTGTACAAACATCATAGAGTATACTTACTTATACCTAGATGGTCTAGCCTGCTACACACCTAGGCTACAGGGTCTAGCCTATTGCTCCTGGGCTACAAACCTATACAGCATATGCTACTGTACTGAATACTGTAGGCAACTGCAACACAAGGATACATTTGGGTGTAGCTAAACATAGAAAAGGTACAGTAAAAATATGGTATAAAAGAAAAAAATGGTACTTGTATAGGGAGGGCACTTACCATGGAGGGAGCTTGCCGGACTGCAAGTTGCTCTGGCTGAGTCAGTGAGTGGTGAATGAATGCCAAGGCCTAGGACTTACTGTACACTACTGTAGACTTTATAAATACTGTACACTTAGCTTATACTAAATTTATTTTAACAAAAGTAATTGTGCTACTACATGATGATGACTACAACATCACTATGTGACAGGAACTTTTCAGCTTCATTATAATCTTATGAGACCACCATCACGTATGTGGTCCGTCCTTGCCAAAACGTCGTTATGTGGTGCGTGACCGTACTTACACGGGCTTTGTGGGTAATGGGTGCTTTAACTCTTTTCCAAGCCATATTTATAACAGCTGTGCCCTGTGAGGTAGAGTTTTAGGGACTAGAGCATCTTCCTTCGCATGTAGAAACAGATTCAGAAATGGCTTTTAAGAAAACCTCCCAGAGAGGTGGGGTGGCCACCCACTCAGGGTTTTGGTTAATTCCTGAGGCAACTTAAACTCCACAAGAGGATGCCACACTCACCTTCTACTCATCTGAGTGCTAAGGCGATGCATCTGTTCTTAAATAGCAACAGAAAACACCCAGATGACAAGAACCTGCTGCCCGCCAGTGCTGTAAACCTTGAACTGCTCAATTTTCACCAAAGGACCATCAGAAAAAACAGTACTAATGAATAGTTATTAAAGAACATTCATTCCAAACTTTCCCCCAGATTACTGGTTTCTAAATTTTAGAGGGACATGGGCACATCTGAGAACCCATGGAGATTCTCTCCCTGGAACAAATAAAAATGATATGCAAGATGATCTGTTTGCCAGCTGTATGCTAGCACGGGTCTGCAGCTCACCTGCCAATCCCCTACAGCAGTGGGTCTCAACCTGACTACACTAGAACTACCTGGGGAGCTTTAAAAATAAACAAAAAACATGAGGCTGGGCCCCATTCCAGGGGTTCTGATTTTATTCATATGTGGTAGGGGCTAGGACTCACTGCTTAAAAGCTTCCTGGATGAATATAATATGCAGAGGGTTTTTACTTTTCACATTTTTTTTTTTTTTACAGTGGTATGTAAGAGCTGGCTCCTACTGGCTCATGAAAGTTACCATTAAATATTAAGAAATTTCATGAGTTGAACAACCATGGGTAGCTTGAAATTGCCCAGGGAGGGCATATTTATACCACGGAAACAGTCAAAGGGTATAAAACAGGAGTTTTGGGGAATTGGAAAGAGCCTTTTTTTTTTAAACCAGTACACCACTGATTGAGAACCATTGTCCCAATAGAACCAAAAAAAAAAAAAAAAAAACAAAAACTAGGTAAAGAATTCCTGCTCTAAGTATTCTAGTTCTTAATGCTACTGCAAAGAGTAATAAAGTAGACTTTCAGAGGGCTGGGTATTTGGCCACAATACAGCCTTGCTGCCCCTTTTAGCAAGATTGTTTCTACCAAGTTATGTTTTAGCTTTTTTTTCAGTTTAATCAAAGAACGTTATTTTTAAAAACTGAGGCTTACAAAACCCATTATTGTATATTTTATATTTTGAGGATGACACTGTTCCTAATAATCTTCCCAAGTCCCCAAATGAAGCTGCCAGGAGAAATTTGTTTTAAAGTTAAATATCAGGGAAACACACAGGCACACAGCCTTGTCCAGGGGCACTGGTGCGTTTCCCCACTGCAGACCTTGAACACTATTGTTTTTCTTTTCCTTCAGCTGCCCATTAAGTTTTAACCAGATTTTTCAGCCTATGAGGAACATTTGCTTCCCTAGGTCCTGGTCACTGCATTCTATTATAATTTATAGTTCTCCTGGTACTAAGGGCTTATATTTTCCTATCTTAATGCATGCTACTTCTTATAAGGCCTTGCAAATCCTTCGTGAAATGAGTCAAGGTATGTTTGAAGTATGAACCTACTGACTCAGCTTTTGCCTCATTTATGATTTGTATGCCACGTTGCTGCTGAGACTCAAACTTGGCTAACATTGGAATTATCCAGGGAACTTGAGAAAACACATGTACCTAGGTCCTGTGCACAGAGATCCTCATTCAATAGGATCTAGGCTGCAGTTTGGGTGTCAGGATTTTATAGAAAGTTCTCCAGGTCTTTCTACTCTGCAGCCAGGCTTGAGACTTTCCGTGCCCTAAGGACGCTGTGAAGTCAATGCTGACTGACCACCGGGGCCCAACCTGACAGCCTGGCATGTTCCCTTAGCCCAGGCGCTGGTTCCTCCCAGGCCCACTAGGAAAGAGATGAAACAGTTACCAATAAAATTGTGAAGTTTTCCAAAACACTGTTCATCATATATTTCTCTGGTAAGTGTTTGAGCTTGTGGATGAAGTTGATCATATATTCACACATCGGGGAGCGGTTTATTCGGTATACAAATCGGCCATTCTCAAACCTTGCATACTCCGTCTGTGAGGAAAAAAGGATTTGAGCATTTTTACACTTTCGACTTCAAAATACATGAGACTGATATTACTGCCTATGAAAGCATTTTCCTTTTTTAACATGAATCATCTGCTATCTGCTATACTGTGCACGTAGTTTACTTAGTTAAAAAAATCCTATTCTCCAAACTTACGTGGAATCCATTATTTTTCTGGAAATAAAAATAGTTGGAAAGATGATAGCTTTAAAGAAGAGTTTGATAGATCCTTTTAGCAAAGGTCAGAAAAAAATATAACAGCCTTAGTGATTCTTTACCTGGAGGAGATCTGTGGGAGCAGGCCCCAGCAAGCTACAATTCTTCAAAGAGCCCAAAGAAAATCCCTCTTTACTGCGATAAAGCCACACAGGCTAAAAAACCAATACAGCTAATTTCTCTACTTTAGAAAAAAGTCCGTTATTTCACACTGATCATGAGCCCCTGAATGAGGGAGGGAGGGAAGGAAGGAGAGAAGGAGGAAATACTATCAACAGTATATGTGCAGTTTAAAGATCCCATTGAAATACTCAGAAATAAGAAACGCACTCCTAGATAACTTTGGATCAAAAGGAATTAGGAAGGAAATTACAAACTATCTAAAAGAACAATGAAAAAAATACATCAAAACTTAGGGGGCACAATGAAGCTATACTTGAGGGAAACTTGATGAAGCTGCCTCATGTCTTTATCATTAAAGATGAAAAATTACAGAACTAAATACACATCTTTAAAAATTAAAAAGAAACCACAAAATAAGCCAAAACCACCAAGAAACCAAAGGAAACCAGGAATAGGATATTAATAAAGATAAAAGCTCAAATCAATGAAATAGAAATTTAAAATGTAGAATTTTAAAACTGGTTCTTTAGAAAGACAAAATAAGATAAACCTCTCACACACTTAAAAGGAGAAGAAAGAAAAGAGGCTAAGCCACAATTATAGGAGATTAGAAGATATATTAGAGATTACTTCATATAACTCTAAGGCAAAAAAACAAAACAAAAAGAGGCAAAGAAAACCTAGTGGACAGAGATGCTTCCCCAGAAAAATACAAATTGCTAACCCCGAACCAAAAAGAAGTGGAAAACGTCAATGGATTAATTACTGTGGAAATGACCAGAACTAGAAAGTTGTTTAGCGATCACCATCAGAAAAGGTAGAGACTACAAAGGCTCCACAATGTCAGAGAGGAGGAATAAGTTCAAGAGATCTACTGTACAACGCTAGTGACTAGGGTTTGTAACAATGTTGCTAAGAGAAGATTTAAGTGTTTTCACCACAAAGAAGTATGTGAGGTAATGCATATGTCAATTAGCTCTATTTAGCCATTCTAAAATGCACATATTTCAAAGCATTATGTTGTACACAGTAAAAACGTGTAACATTGTTATTTGCCCATTAAAAACAAATAAATAATAGATGCTAAAAAAAGGTATAAAAACCAAATAGTTTAGAGGTAAGTTTTATGTAACTTTTAAAGAATGGTTACTTCCAATATTATTTAAACTATGCTAGGCCCCAGAAAAAGTAAATATCCCAATTATTTTCATGAAATTAATGCACATTCAATACTGGAATTTGACAAAGAGATTACAAAAATGTATAGATTAGTATCAATTACGAAATGTGCAAATTCTAAGTAAAATATCAGCAAATAGAACCCGGCAATGTATCGGATGTATGACTTTTCCAGGAAGGCTGTGGTGGTTCATATACAGGAAATGTATTAACTTAGCTTGTTATGCCAACAAATTGGAGAAAAATCATACAGCGAGAGTTATTGAAAAGGCATTTGATAAAATACTGCAGCTATTACATTTAAAAACCCCAAAATAGGAATAGAAAGCACTTAAATGAGTAATAAAACCATTTATAAAAATCAACAATAAATATAATCCTAAATGGCAAAACTCCAAAAGTATTTCTCCTAACATCAGTAACTACACGGGATAGCTACCACTGTTATTTCTTTATACAACTGTGTTGAACGTTTTAGCAAATGAAAAGAGAGGGAAAAAAACTGGCATAAACAGTGGGAAAGAAGGATAAAATACGGCTTTCTTTTTTTTTTTTGCTCCCACTATGATTATATACTTAGAAAACCCAAGAATCTAGAGAAAAAATTTGCTAAGATGGCTGTATTGAAGATAGATATGCAAAATCCAAGAGCTTTTTTCTATTCTAGTATTTAGATTCTAGAAATGGGAAATTACAAATTATATTTAGAAATATATTTAACAAGAAATGGACAAATCCATATGATGAAAAGCATAAAATCTCATTGAAATAACAAAATGAAATGGAAATGTAAATAGGTTCTTGCTTGGGAAGATTTAATATCAATAACCTATCAATTTTTTCTAAAAAATAACGTATAAATCTAATGCAATTACAATTATATTGCTCAAACAAGGTTTTTGCTTTTTCTTTACATCTTTAAATGATTATTTGGAAGAATAAATGCTGGTTAGTAGCTAAGAAAATATATGAAAAAGAATAATAGTGAGATCGATTTGTCTCACCAGATATCAGAACATACTATAAACCTACTGCAATCAAATCAACATGGTACTGGGCTATACAGAGAAAACTGAGGGTGGAATAGAATAGAGAGACTCCAGAAACAGCTCCCAGAATATATGGTAACTTAAAGGGGCCAAATCTGTTCAAGCGGAAAAAGATGAATCATTTAACAAACGGCTTTGACACAAATAAATGCCTACCTATTTGGAGGAAAATATAAGCAGCCTATCATTTCACACCACACGCAGGCACACATGCTAAAGGGATGAGGGCCTTAAATGTAAGCTTCACCTGCCACGCACACCAGTTCTCCATGAAAATTCCTGGGATTTTATCGGTCAAAAGCAACCTCTCCCTGCTCCCTGAACTCGCAGAGAGCTTTGGGTATGTCATCTGAAGACACATGAAGAATAATTTGAAATCTGGGAAACTGGGTAACCTGTCTGGTTCATCTTTTCCCACACGTGCCTGTCCAGGCAGGGAATTCCATCTACAGAGAACATCCCTGACAACACCGCCTAACACGCACCTTCCACGCTCCCACCACCCGCAGGTAACTTTGCTGCCTCCTGCTTAGAGGAAATGGCGGTCCATCTGCTTCCAGGTCTTCCAGCCCTGGAACCTTCTCCTGGGGCCTCCCAGATACATGTTGAGCCACCTCCCCTCCTCCCTAGTCTCCCTCCTACTCACCCCAGGGCTGCCTGCTGCTCCCCAAATTTAATCCATATTCCTGTGCTCTTGCCATTCCCTCTCTGCAGCTAGTTCTCCTTCCCACAGCTTTAACTACCCTTAATGGTTAGGGTTCCCAGTTGGTATTTCCAGTCTTTACCTATTGCCCAAATTCTAGTCTTGCATCTATAATCATCCCCTGGTGATTTCCTCTTGAACGCCTTATTTCCTCATCTCTGCCAGTGGCAGTACTGTCCTTCCAAGCATAAACTGCGAATGTGACCCATGGCTCTTCCTTCTCTTTAATCTTTACTATCCAGTTGGTTTCTAAGTTCCACTCAAAATGTCGTACTGGATTCCCAGGGCCACCATTTTAGTAAAGCTCCCGACCCCTAAGCCCAAACTGACGATCAAAGTCAACTCCCCCACACCCTTCTCTGCCAGCACAACCCTCCTTAGCAACACCCTCGCAAATCCCATGCTTTGCGCTCGGAAAGTGAAGACAGCCTGCAGCGCATCAAATCCTCATTGCCCAGCCCAGGGTCTGCTCCCTCTCTCCCCCCAGTGCATCCTCTCTCTCACTCCTCAACGCAAAGTCTTTGTGCAGTCAGACTGGGCTCCTGGACCTGAGAGGCCCAGGACTGCTGCGAATAACAAGTCCTCACTGAACACATCCCGACGGGGTGATGGGTGAGAGACGCTGGAGAATACCAGCCTTTTTAAAGGGAATGTCAGCTGCAAACATTCACAGAAAGCAGCTCACCCTGCTCAAACATATGTTTTTTAAAAGTGAGGGAGGCATAAAATATAAAAGGCATAAATAGATATTTGATCCTAATACATGAAATATGTTTATAATAATTATAATGAAGGGAGTAGAAATGGCAAAAGCAACAATATCAAACTCAAGGTGTTAGGGTTTTAGAAGGCAGGTGCCCATCAGTTGAATAGCACCTTGACTGTTATCTACAATGCCTGGGAGCGCCCTTCACCTGGGGTGGGGTGAGCAGGGCACCCCACAAGGCCTCACACAGAGGTGCACAGCACTGGCTGGGCAGGGCAGAGCCGACTTCAGACTCAGAGAGGGCTGGCACCGGACTTCCTACTTGCTTTCTTTCATGTCCTTCCAAATCATTTTGCCTTTTTTCAAAGTAATAGGAAAAGGAAGTGGGAGGAAGGGTGGGGAGGAAGGAAGAGACATCCAAAAAGTACAACTCTCTGCCCCAATGAAGGTTTAAAGGAAGACACTGGTCTGCCCTGGAATGAAGATTCTGGTATACAGAAGCCAACTTACCTCTACTTTTTCTACTACTTGCTTCCCAAAAGAGCAAACTTTGGTGGAACAGGTGACTGTCATATTTTCGGAACTCTCATACTGACTGGTTACACCATAAAAAGCCCCGGCATCATCTTGAATATTGCAGTTTAAATCAGCCTGTTGGAAAGGAAATGGAGGTGGGAGTTATTCTCTCATCCCAGGGCGCCAAGCAGTAACTGTCAGGGTAAGACCCCTATGCGGGGGAGGGGAGGGGAGGGCTGGCTTGGTGAACAAGTTCCATGCCCATCAGTCATTTTTTGAAGAGGGTGCTAATTTAGGCGGTCTTCCCTTGAACTGACATGCTACATGTATCGATTTCCTTTTACTTTCTTGCATTCAGTATCAGAATAACACCATGCCCTTGCAATGAAAGATCCACAAGGTCTTTGAAATATGTGCAGAAAACAGGATGTGAATTAGATTCATATTCACTAACCTTTGGAGATATTTAAAATAACAGGAGACTCTGCAGCTGACTAGCCATTTGTCAGATAAGTAAAAACAGAAACTTCACTGTTTCTGTTACAAAATTACAGCATCCGGAGGGGAAATAGTTCCTATTAAAGACTGGCTTACAAAGTTGCTAAATAATTAACACAAATTGCCACTTATTTAACACGTTTATTAAGTACCGACAATGGGAGGCTCATGCTAGACATTATACAGGACTTGGTTACAACCTAATATGGGAGACAGAGACATAAAATAATTACCATTCAGATAGGAAACAAGTACCACGTCAAAGGTTCTCAGAGTTCCAACAACGGAAGGCATTACTGTCAACCAGGGGTCCTAGTTTGGGATAGTTAAGATTGGGAAACGCAGAGAAGTCTGGGCTGGGGTAACGGTGCAGGCAGAAGCCTGAGAGAAGTGAGTTTGGAAATGTAACTTGAGCCCAGGTCCAGGAGGACTAAATAAGGGGCGTGGATTGCATCCTCTAAGAAATGGGGGACTCCTTGAAAGTTTTGGTGCCAGGAAGTGATGTGATTAGCGCTGTGCTTCAGGACACACTGTCCATTGCAGAAGGTGGCTGCTGCAGTGTTTGGGTCACTGCTATGGTCTGAACATGTCCCCCAAAGTTCACGTGTTGGAAACTGAATCTGCAATGCAACAATGTTGCAAGGTGGGGCCTTCTGGGAGGTGCTCAGGTATCGAGGGCTCTGCCCTCATGAATGGGTTCATGCAGCTATAAAAAGGGTTTCTGGGAGTCAGTTGGCTTTCTCTTCCCACCCCCTTCCCCACTTCTGCCTTCTATCATGGGAGGATGCAGAGCAAGGCCTCACTAGATGCTGGGGCCTGGATCTTTGACTTCCCAGCCTCTAGAAATGTGAGAAATAGATTCTGTTCTTTATAAATTACCCAGTCTGTGGTATTCTGTTACAGCGATACAACATAGACTAAGATACTCACGGATTAACAGTTCTCCCTTCCCTCAACAATCTACGGACCCCCTACTATAGATCAGGTGAGGTGCTTAGCGGCGGGAATGAAAGTGTGAGCAAAAGCTGAGCCAGTCCCTGCTCTTGTGGGGCTTGGTTTAGTGAGGAAGATAGCACAGCAGAGACAAGCCCCACTGTGAGAGGTAAACAGGGAGACACGAGATCAAGTCACAGTGGGGAGTGGGCCCCCAGGGGTCTGGGATGCTTCTGATGATGCAGCTGGGATACAAAGAAAGAAGACATGGAATATTCCTTAAGCGAGAATAAGGTTGTTCAAAGGGCGCATTAAAGAGACAGCAAGGGAGAGAGGACGGCAGGAGGGCTGGGGAGGTGGGAGGGTTTGGTCTCATATCCTAAGACTGAAGGACACAGGAGTGACAAGCAGATAGGACTGACACAGTGACAGGGCACGATCAGATCTGCATTCCAAAAAGGCACCGCTGACCACAGCTCAGAGAAGACTCCGGAAGGGAGCAGAGTGAGTGCAGGTGGCTATCAGGAGGCCACACGGCATCAAAACGAGAGGTGACAGTATATGGGCTGGTGCGGTGGCTGCTGAGACAGAGGGGGGTGTCAAATGAGACTTTGTATTTTGTGAGATTTGGCACATCTTGCCTAATTTTAATTCTTCGACAGGTACTAACCACCATGAAGACCTGAGTTATCCTATATATTTTTCAGTAAGGACCTGCATTTGAATTTCCTTCTTGAATTGAATATCAGGAAAATATCCATCTCCTTAGCCAAAACTTCCTATTTTCTGCCTTCAAATAAAGAAAACCCACATTTTCTATATTCCCCGTTTCACCTTGTGTGCCAAGAAATCCCAAGCTAAATTCAGTGCTCAGCTCCAGTAATTAACTTGTTCCAGGTGCTTCTAACAGCGACTAACAGCCAGGGCCCAGCTCCTTTTACTGGTTTCCAATCTGCTTTAACTTGTACTTGTCCGGTTTTACATTATTCATAAATCTAGTAAGCTTTCTCACATTTTGCTGTTTGGATTTTATAGGGTACAAATCATAAATAAATAAAAATGCCCAGGTGTGCATTTTTCTCGCATTCAAGGGTTTAACATTTGGCTCCACAAAAGAGCAGCTTAGCAGGAAATGATGCGTGTCTTTCCCTAGCTGAGCTCTGCATCTGAGCTACCCAAGGCTGACGAGGCCCCTGGGTCCAACTGAGCTGCAGCCTCCAGGGGAGAAAGGCTACCAATCCCTCCTCGCACACGGGAGCCCTGAACACTGAATTACCATCAAGCTTTCCACAGGGCAGTTGTTACCTGCAAGAACTGCCGCTGTCTTGTTTTGTTTCCGCCTCGAAACACACTGCTTTGAAAAGTGGCTCAGGTGTTTTATGGTGGTGGGATTAATGCCCTTACTATTATGATGTAGCTTGTGCCAAAAAGTTTCAGTATTTTTTTAAAAAGTAAAAACATGCATGTGGTAAGTAAAGGGGAAAAAAAATCAAACTGTAAAAAGGGCATGAACCCACGAACTTGCCAACCTCCCCAGAGGTGGCATCATTTTTAAACCGCCCCTCTCCTTTATTTGACAAAATTATTTTCAGGAATAATCATAGCGAACCAGTGTTACCCATTTCTCAAACATCCTTTTAGGATATTTAGCATTTAGATATTTAAGCATACACATTTCCTCCTTTTCTGCATGGAAAGTAGCATACTACACTCACTCTTCTAAACCTTACTTAAAATATATATATAATACACACACACATCTTAGAACTCATAGGACTGATACAGATCAGTATAATAAAGAACAACCATTTAAAATAATGAACAGCCACACTTTCTAGTGGCCGCATACTATTCCATTGCACAGATATGCCATAATTTAATACACGCTCTACTGGTGAACATTTAGGATGCTTCCCAATAAATTGCAATAAGAAGTTTATATTGAGCAGAAAAGGTGCAGTAGAAATTATTTTTATTTTTAACTTTAAAAAATTTCCAGCTTTGAAAAACACTCACATGCTATGAATAAACTGTGGCTAATATTGTAACTCGAACAAACTAGTTATTTGTATGTAATCAAGTTGTTTTAAAGACTGGTGAATAATCAAAAGCAGTCTGAAAAGTCAAGCACGGTGGCACATGCCTATAGTCCCAGTTACTTGGGAGGCTGAAACTGGAGGACTGCTTGAGCCCAGGAGTTCGAGACCACCCTGGGCAACATAGTAAGACCCGATCTCTAAAAGAAAAAAAAGCAGTCTCGTGTTTTTGGTGTACACAGTGGAGTGCGGGATGGAACACAGGGAAATTAGCAATTGTGGGGGAGGCTGTCAATGGGAGAGTAAATAGGTTGTTTTAAAAAAACCGTCAATCTCAACTAACTTAAATTTTACAAAATAATCTGTCAATGTACACAATTTTAAAACATTAACCAAGCTAAGCATGGTATTCACCATGATTTGATGTTAGCAAAATTGCTGAAAATGTTCACAACTGTTGTGTTTCCATCTACATGAGGTTCTACGCTTAAGCCACACTGGTGAAAGCAGCTGCCCCATAGCAGGGGCACACCTAGCAGATCTGACGACTCGAGTGGATCATTTTTAAGACTCCTTTCCTTTATTTGACAGAATTATTTTCAGGAATAATCAGCATTCTATTTCAGCTGTTTAAAATTTTAAACACAATAACTCCAAAACCAGAAATGGAGAACGACAGAATTGAAGTAACTTAAGTTCTGTTTCCTCTTCTTCACAATCACTATGCTGTTGCTCATTTACAAATCTGCTTGACCACTGGAAGCAGCAGCACATTCACCCTGCACCTGAACCAAGCTCAAACAACTCCGAACTATTAAGAACTTACTCTGGAAATGAATACTAGGCTGAGTCCACATGTGTTACGGAAGAAGTAATGCAATGGATAATTAATATGTGTGCTAATTAGAAGTATGTATATGTTGTAAACATGTATATATGATATAAAAATTCAACACTAACTCTGCCAATTATTTAGGACTTAAGCCAACAAAAGATTTTTTAAATTTTCTCAATGATCTTTTGTTTAGAACTATGGGCACGTGGTGATAACAAAAAGGAACTGATTTTTAGGTGGTTTTGCCATTGTTTGTAAATTCTCTACAGACAAGCAACCTCCTCACTGCCTGCACCTGGGGCAGACCAGGCCCATCGCCTCACCTTAGCTTTACCACCTTAGAACTCCCCAGATAATTGTAATATAGCTTTAATTTGAATAGACGATCTGAAGTTATAATAATATGAAATATCAAAAATGAAGTTATTAAAGACTATCCAATCTACCCTTAGGAAGCATCTCAACAAGTAAGTTTTAATGTTGTTAATGTTTTTACAAAAAATTAAAATATTACATTCAGAGAAGTGCACAAATTGGAAGTTTACAGCTTGATTAATTTTCATCAAGTCAACCTAGCACCAAGATGAAGAAACAGAACCGAACCCCCCCAATAGCCTCCCTTCCAGTCACAATCGCCCCCACACCTCACCAGGGTGGCCATGATCCTACAACATTACACATTACCTTTGTCCGGTGTTTTTGAATTTTAAACAAGTGTAATCACATAGCATTTAAATCCCTTTTTAGTTTTGTTTGCTCAGGATTTTGTAAGATTCAACCATCTTGTTGTGTGTAGTTCATTCATCCTTATTACCGTAGAATATTCTATTGAA